GTTTATAAATATAAATCTTAGAACAAGTTAGCACTTATCAGGAAGAAAACACACTTCCTGCAAAACTGACTTCAAACCGAAAGGTATTGTGAAGGTAGAACAAATGAGCAACAGGGTGATGGCCAGAGCGCAGCATGTTGTAGAGGTGTCCAGTCATGAACAGAGAAGGGGAGAAAGGAGCTGGAGGAAAAGAATCTGTGAATCTGCACATCTCAGTAACCCACAGTAAAACGGTCAGAATCAGAACAATGTCTAAATGTGGATTCTTTCTTGAGGCCACAAAAATCAGGTGTCTCTACTATCACAATTCAGATGTGAGCAAAACGTCTGGCAAATTAAAGAGGAATACTTGTTTTCAAGGTGGATTTCACTTGGATAGCTAAAGCTTCCACGTACAAGAAACACACTCTCATGAGAAGGAATGAACCTTAGGGATATGAGAACCACTGTACTGATTGAAACAGATCCATACTCGTACCCCTTCCAAACAAAAGTGACCCAACAGAACAATATAGAACAACATCACTGATGTTGAACAATATCACTGCTCCAATTACAGAACAATATCAGACATCACCTGCAAGTAAAATTTTGCTGAAGATCATCCCACTATGGTTATAGCAGTCCATGGAATGGAGATTTATAAACAACCTGCCATAGGCCGATGACACAGCCTTGCTTGCTGAGTGTGAGGAGGAATTGAAGCTTTGCTGACAAAAACAAGGATTGCAGTCTTCAGCGTAAATTAAAACTCAATGTAAAGAAGACTCAGACCTCACAAGATTATGGTAACTGGAGAATTGATTGAAATTGCCAAGGATTTTGTTTTGTTTGGATCCACAATCAATGCGTATGGAAGCAGCAGCCAAGAGATCAAGAGGTGAATTGCATCAGGTAAATCTGCTGCACAAGACCTCTTTAGAGTGTTGAAAAGCAAGAGTGTTACTTTTAGGACTGCGGTGTGGTTGACGTCAGCATGTCTCATATGCGTGTGGAAGTTGGAAATTTAGACACTGAATGAGGACAATTGAAAAAGAGTCGGTGCATTTGAACTGTGGGACTAGAGAAGGATAGTGAATGTACCATGAACTCCTAAAGGACAAACCTATCCGTCTTGGGAAGGGCACAACCAGAGTTCTCCTTAGAGGTAAGCATGGTGAGACTTCTTGCAATTTTTGAACGTGTGGCCAGGAGAGACAGTCTGTGGAAGACATCATGCATGGTAAAGTAGAGGGGCCATGAAAAAGAGCAAGACCCTCCAGGAGATGGATCAACACTCTGGCAACAACAATGAGTTTAACCATAGGACCTATTGTGAGGGTGACTAGGGACTGGGCAGTGTTACATTCTGCTGTGGGTAAGGTCACTGTGGGTCAGAAACTGAGTTAATGGCAACTAAAAACATTTGTGTACTCTCTAGAGGATGCAGCCTAATTCAGCATTTAATCACATTTATCTTTGAAAAACCATCGATCATATGTGAACAAAAGAGGTGCTATTCATAAAACGTGTTGGAAAAATTATTGAAACATGAAAAATATTACAATAGATTTCTACCCCATTTAATTAATAAAAGACAAGTCAAGTTGTATTAAAGGCTTTGAACTTTTTGAAGAAATTTAAGAAAAATATCTTTAAGTCTTTTTCTAGGAAAAGTTTTCTTAAATTCAGACAAATAGTTCAAATGAATAACAAAAAGTGATCAATTCAACTACATTCAACTGATAATTTATCAATCACTCTAAAAATAGGATAGCCAATACAAAGAGGAAATATTTGTAACACCTCATCACTGATGGAATTATTTGGAGAATTGTGTATAGTGCTCAAATTCATAAGCAAAACCTAGTGGTAAAAACAATAGAAAAATGGGAAAATAATGTATTGCTATTTTCAATAAATAAATCAGAAAT